ATGACGATATTCCACATTGTTTGAATTTAAAAATGTTGAAGGTGAAATAAAAAAATCACTTTATGCATAACAGACAAGAATGTAAAATTACAGAAAATTGATTAAAAAATGTGTAAACGAATTAATGCTAAATAAATCATCAACAAACAAACAAATTTTTGGTAAAGTTTCTGTAAGGTCATGTCCCACGTTGAGCTTTCACCATCATACAGCATTTTTCTGCAAACAATGATATGAATATAAGTTTAACACTGAACCAAATTTCTACATTAAACGCCAATTATCCTACATAATTTTCGATACAATATAATAATTGTGTTTGGAAATATCTAGGTGTGTAGTGTTATAATTTATCGATAACTATAATCTCTGATTGTTGACAGTGGAATAAAAAGAACGTTGTCTGACATTGAATGTGCATTTCCGTATTTAATCCACGGAGATAGGTGGGCATTTTTTTCGTGTGGGTTATCACGGGAATCGAAAGTACGGAATATCGTTATACAGGGTGTAAACGTTATGATAGTCATCGAGCAATGTGAAGTATACACCACTGTAATGTCCTTAAAAAATCGGAAAAGTCCTGGGTTCGATGGTATTAAAAGCGAGCATTTGAAAATAATAGCCGAGGATATAACAGAACCACTCACTTACCTAATCAACAAATGCTTTGAATCTGGCATATATCGCTCAATTTTAAAAAAAGGTAATATAATACCGATACATAAATCAGGAACAAAAACAGATGTTAACAACTATAGACCAATATCAATAATATCCAGTGTAGCAAAGGTTTTTGAAAAAGTTTTATCTACTAGAATGATTCGATACCTCACAAAATTCAAAATTTTAAGTGAAAATCAATATGGATTTACAGAAGGGAAGGCTACATCGGACGCAATAACTAAAATTGTAAATCAAATATATCAAAATATTGATAACAGAATCCCTTCAATCTGCATTTTTGTTGATTTAAAGAAAGCTTTCGACACAGTTAATCACAAATTATTATTAGAAGCATTGGAGAGAATTGGTTTCAGAGGAAACGCGTACTCACTGATCGAAAGTTATTTGTCAAATCGCCCACAATCTGTGCAGATATCAGGATCATTTAGTAAAGAAATGTATATTAAGTGTGGTGTCCCACAAGGAACTGTCTTAGGTCCGCTGTTATTCAATATATATTTAAATGATATTTTCCAAATAAATTGTGTTGGCAAAATAACTAGTTTTGCAGATGATACTGCAATATTATATGAAGGCACTGACTGGTCTGATCTGAAAAATGTAATTGAAAATGATTTTATCAAAATTATTCGGTGGTTTAACAGTAGAAAATTAAGCATTAACTACTCTAAAACACATTTTTTACCATTTGGATCTTATGCTAGACATCTGCCAAATTACACAAATTTCTCCTTCAATATTAATGATCAAAAAATGCAAATTAATAGAGTGCCCAACATAAAATACCTTGGAGTGGTCTTGGATCCTCACTTACGATGGGACATCCATGTCAATTATATTTTAAAGAAAGTTAGATTTGTATCCTACAAAATGAAATACCTTGGGAAGATATTGACAGATAGTATCTTCGAACATTATACCATGCACTGATTGAGCCTCATCTCACATATGGTATATTAGCATGGGGAGCTGCATGTTCCTCACATATCTATAATTTAGATGTTTTTCAAAAAAGTATTCTAAAAATGATATTTAAAAAACCGAAACTTTATCCCACTGAAAAATTATACGCAGATGTTCGAATGTATGATATAAGACAGCTTTATTTCTTACACAGTATCACTCACTACCATAAATTTGTAAACACCGACCAAAAAATTAAACATAATCATTATACCAGGTACAAAATTCGTGGCACAGTAGTTCCTCAACCGCATAAATCTATAATGCAGCGATCATATCTCTATTTAGCGCCTAAATTTTATGAAATTATACCTAAAGACTTAAAAGATTTACGTTTCGGAAATTGTTTCAAAAGAAATTTAAAAAAGTGGCTACATTCTATATCTAGGACTGAAATTCATAAACTCATAAATACGAACATCAACTAAATACATAATCTACTGTAGCTAATTTGTCCTTTTTTGTCATTTGCATTCTACAGTTTTAACTTAAATTATTGGTCCATGTACAGGCGATGCCTTCTATTGGGCCTGTTTTGATTTTATATTTATTTACTCATATTGTTTGTTATCTTTGTACATTGAGTGAATAAATATTATTATTATTATATTATTATTATTTAAATGGGGGCTTAAAAGAAGTAAAAAGTTTCATGTAACATGGGGTATCAAAACGGCATTTTTTTAGAGAAAAGCGACTTTAAAGTCAAATAAAGTTGTCCATTTATTATTTCAGCCGCATTAAATTTTTGTTCGCGAAGTTGTGCTTCAGTTGGTATTGGACTAGCCCCATAAACCATCCCTTTAAGTTCTCCCCAATACCAGAAATCTATCGGATTGAGGTCAGGAGATCTTGCTGGCCATTTTCGAGGATCAGGAGCATCTCGACCGAACCAGCGATTTGGATATTGTTCATTCAAATACTGAATGACGCCTCTAAAAATGTGTGGTGGTGCCCCGTCATGAAGAAACCACAAATTCTGTCTCCGTTGTAATGGCATGTTGTCTAAGGTCTGTTCCAAAAGTTCTGGTAGAAAGCTAAGGTATCCTTCTACTGACAAGTTGGGGGGTAACTCGAAAGGGCCAATTACCTGATCGTCAAGAATTCCCGCCCAAATATTTATTTTAAAACGTTGTTGGAAATGACCTTCACGACTGTTATGAGGATTTTCTTGGGCCCACGTGTGAGTATTATGGAAATTTAATATCCCGTCTCACGTAAACTAACAACATGTCGTCGAATTCTTGATTCGAGAACATTGTAAATAAACACGACGACGTACGCGAACAAAAACAAAACAACACGCCCGATGCCCGATAACTAACCACTGTTACCGTTTGCGATCGATTGCCGGTTCGATAAGAATCATGAAAGGACGACGCGTTGTTGTCATGTGTGTTTTAAAGATTTAATTTAATGAAACTTACTTACTACAAATTTTTACTTAACTTAGAAAAACTTAATGCCGTTTATTTGGTAATTACTCAATTTAAAAACGTTTTAGATTAGATTATAAAAATTAGTAAGATTGTGGTGATTGTGGTCAATATACTTAAAGTTGTAAACGATAAAGCCATTTAGACAAAAATCTATTGAGTCTTGGACCATGGGTCATATGAACTTTTTGACTTGCTTTGACCTCCCTATTACCCATTTCGATAATGACCATAACGTTTGCTTTTAAGTGTATAGATTCGAATCGGGGAAATATCAAGATTTATTTACACAATTGAATTTGATTCTAAAATATTGTAGCAGACCGTGATCTATCACTTCGGCAGGGGTATTACGTATCTTCTGAAGATGCCAACCACTCGTGTCGGCGAAACGTCAAGTAAAAATATTTTACGACGCCCCAACTACCCAAAAACCAACCAAATGACATTTGATGATGATATAATAATAAAGGGTTGTCCAATAAGGACGCAGGAAAGTAAACGTCAAATTGACATAGACGCCATCTTTGTTTTCTGTCACCGACATGTCATTTTGTTAGTTGAATGTACACCATTGATCGCTATGGAGTCGTACTCGATTGAAGACCGCATTAAAGTTATTCAAATGGTGCAAAAATAAAAAACACGTTTCGCGCGCTTCGTGAACATTTCGGTCGCAACAACCGCCCAAACGAAACAACCATCGGTCGTCTGGTGCGTAAATTCAACGCAACAGGTTCTGTGGCAAATCTGCCAGGCTCTGGCCGGCCAAGGAGCGTTCGCACACCGGAAAATATTGCTGTTGTGAAGGAGAGTGTGAGAGACGATCCGAAACAATCAACAACGCGTCGATCCCAAGAATTGGGCATTTCGTGAACCAGTTTGCTCCGCATTCTCCACAAGGATTTGAATGTACACGCCTACAAGATCCAATTGACGCAAGAGCTGCGTCTGGCCGACCATTTTTCGCGCCGAACGTTCTCAGATTGGCTCCTTGAACACCGCCAAATTGATGCCAATTTTTCATCAAAAATCATGTTCAGCGACGAAGCGCATTTCACTTTGAATGGGACGGTAAACAAGCAAAACTGCCGCATCTGGGCGAACGAAAATCCCCGTGAGTATCAAGAGCAGCCGATGCATCCTCAAAAAGAGACTGTGTGGTGTGCATTGTGGTCAAAAGGCATCATTGGACCTTACTTTTTCGAAAATGCGGCCGGGGACGCCGTTACCGTCAATTCTGAGCGATATCACGTGATGATAGAGGACTATTTTTTACCTCAATTTGAAGGAATGGATATGGACGATGTTTATTTCCAACAAGACGGTGCAACATGCCACACAACCAACGTCAATATCCATCGATTGCAGTCCTTCTTCGGTGATCGCGTGATTTCGCGCAGAGGAAGTGTGCCACGGCCACCAAGATCGTGCGATTTGACTCCCTTGGACTTCTTTTTATGGGGATATTTGAAAAGCAAAGTCTACGTCAACAAACCAGCCACCCTCCAAGAACTCAAAAACAACATCATTGCCGAGATAAATGCCATAAAACCGACCATGTTGCAAAATGTCTTTGACCATCGCGTGGACGTCTGTAAATCCAGTCGTGGTGAACATTTGAGCGATATTATTTTTCATACATAAATGGTATAAATGAACCTTCAAAATAAAGTACCCAACTTGATTTGAATATCAATCTTTCTTGTTTTAATATGCGTTACATAAATAGTTTTGTTTAAAAACTTTTTGCTCCGTTTCTCGCATGGTTGGGACACCCTGTATACACACGATACGGGATCAAGCTTAGATCTTTGTAGCGTTTTTCAATGCGCATTCTGCTGTAGAAAATATTGCCACTGTTCTCGAATCACCGTCAGATATACTGCGATAAGATAGTTTTTTCTCTTTCAGGTCAAGATCTGTCAAAATCCGCTTCCTGTCACGCAGTGACGGCGACTCCCTCCCCAAAACCTCCGCCGGTCGAAAGGTCGATCTCGGAAGAGCTAAAAAATCGCCCTAGACCGGTTGTGTACCAGTCAAACTTGAAACTGACCGAATTCGCTTCGAACAACAATACGAATAACACTAAGGTGCTAATCACGACGAAAAGTTCGAACAGCTCGGTGACGATAACGAGGAGCGAGTCTCAGAAATCTGAGGATTCGCGAAGGGCGAAAGTTGCGAGGAAGAATTCGGCGAATAGGAGGAGCTTCTGCGGGGAGATTTTGAGGGAGAGGATTGGCAGGCATTGGGAGGAGCACAGCGACAAAGGTACAGTCGATTTTTCAAAAATATTGAAGAAGAAAAATTGAGGTAGCAAGAAAAAATCAAAATTTTACATTGATATTTGACTTGCTGTATTTTGGAGGAACATGGTCGTATCTAGACTTTAAAAAAAGCATTTTGTAGCTTTAAGATTCTAGTTTTCAGGTTTTTTTTAGGCTAAAAATTTTAGGAGCAACGTTTCGCATGCAATTCTAACAGATAGCGCAAATAAATTGTTTTGTCCTTTTCTTTTTAGTCCACGGGCTTGACAAAAAATGTTCGTCAGGCCATCATATGAATCAGATAGCTCGTTTATTCAGCTTTCATTTGGCGCGAAGATCTCACTTTGAATAAAAAAAACGTCTTTTTTCTGTGACAGGAAAAAAGTTTGACATATTATCTCTATTGACAGGTAAAAAAATGTCACTTTTTATGAAATTACTTTTTTCCCTCGGAAAAAATTAGAGCTTTTTTCCCGGATATTGTATATATATACAGGGTGTCCCAGAAGTCGACGTCAAGCCGAAACCGGGTGATAGGCAAAGTCATAACAGCTATCAGAAAAATATTTAAAAAAATTTTATGTATGTGTTTTGAAAATATAGAAATTTCACACCCTACGGCAGTCTGTCAACTACTGTTACTACAAATATTAACTTTTTTTGGATTTTATTTTTACAATGTAATGATGAATAATGCATCTTCAAACTGGTGTCTCAACCTTACTGCCAACTTTTCTCGTTCAGGAAAAATTGCCACTTATTTCCCAACCAAGTATTCCAAAGTAAAACTTTGCTCAACTTTAACTGGCTGTACTGGAAAACAATGTACTACGAGAGTTTGGCAAGTAACCTTAAAAGTTGGCGCATTTAATAACGATTCCAAAATGGTATAACACTTAGAAGATTACTCGTTAACTTATGCACAATTTTTATTTGAAAAAAAAAACTGATGAAAATTTTTCAAAATTTCCTAATTAAACAGCGATTATGAAAACGCACAAGGACCCTTAAGGATAACTGTTTGCACAACAGTGGGCGTCAAAATGCTGCTGATGATGATTTACCTTTACAGCAAATTCTCAAACTGTTTTCCATCAGCCGCAATACACGCTCGACATCTTCTTAAAAAAGATCGGGCTATTAAACGAGCGAATCCACGGTTATTAACAAACTCAGCTGCTTCCAATAGTCTTTGCCGTAGCTCAGCTACATTTTGAATCGGCTTGAAATACACTTTTTCTTTGACATTTCCCCAGTAAAAAAATCTAAAGGATTCAAATCAGGTGATCGGGCTGGCCACGGTATTGTACCAGACCGCCTTATCCATCTGTCTGGAAAGTTTTGATCGAGATACTCTCTCACTGAGAGTGCATAGTGCGCTGGGCAGCCATCATGCTGAAACCACATGTCCCTGTAAATACTCAGTGGCACGTCCTCCAATAAATTTACTAAATGATTTTGCAAAAAACCTAAATAAACCTCAGCAGTCAAAGTCTCTGGGAACTCAAACGGACCGATTATTTTACGATTTAAAATTCCTGTCCAATGGTTTATCTTGAAGCGATATTGAGATTTATCTTCTCTCATCAAATGTGGATTTGCTACGTGCCACTCGTGTAAGTTATGCAGGTTCATGTACCCATCTTTCTTAAATGTGGTCTCACCCGACCATAAAATTTTTTCAAAGAACTGTGGATCTTTCCTGTGTCTTTCTAACATTGTGCGACAAAAAGCAACTCGGGGCTCATAATCCCGGGGCAGGAGAGGTTGAACACGCTGTATGTGGTATGGATGGAGCACGTTTTTTTGCAAGATTCTATGGGCTGTACTTCATTTTGGAATCCTTATTAAATGCGCCAACTTTTAAGGTTACTTGCCAAACTCTCGTAGTACATTTTTTTCCAGTACAACCAGTTAAAGTTGAGCGAAGTTTTACTTTGGAATACTTGGTTGGGAAATAAGTGGCAATTTTTCCTGAACGAGAAAAGTTGGCAGTAAGGTTGAGACACCAGTTTGAAGATGCATTATTCATCATTACATTGTAAAAATAAAATCCGAAAAAAGTTAATATTTGTAGTAACAGGAGTTGACAGACTGCCGTAGGGTGTGAAATTTCTATATTTTTTTCAAAGACCTATAATTTTCAAAACACATACATAATTTTTTTTAAATATTTTTCTGATAGCTGTTATGACTTTGCCTATCACCCGGTTTCGGCTTGACGTCGACTTCTGGGACACCCTATATATATATATATATATATATAAGCAGTAGTCATTGCCATTGCCAACGAAAAGTTGGGCAAAAAATACAATTAATTGTTAAAATTGGGAAATTGGCAAATTTTTTTGGGCTTTAGTTAACTCTTTTGACGCTAATCTCTAGCTTTCGGCAATTCTCTATGGAGCCTTCATCAGGAGCTGAACCTCAACAACGAGTAAGTTGTTTGACAATTGAAATCGTTCCTGTATTGGTTATTAGCATCATAATTGTGTTTTCAGCTCCTGATGAAGGCTCCATAGAGAATTGCCGAAAGCTAGAGATTACCGTCAAAAGAGTTAACTAAAGCCTAAAAAATTTTGCCAATTTCCCTATATATATATACATATAGGTGAAAAATTAAAGCTTCCGCCTTTTGTTGGGTACTTCGACAAAATTTAAGCAAAGAGGACTCTTTATACTTTTTTTAATTCTCTCTAGCTTTCAATGGACTTTGCCATCATCATCAGGAGCTGCAATTACAATGATAACAGTAGCAACAAAAGTGTAAAATGAATTTAAATTGAATCAACTTACAGTAGTATGTGAGGATGTTGCTAATTGTTGTTTTCGTATAGGATGAGGGAAACGTCCAGTAACATGGTGAGAGCTGGATACATGGTACAATGGTTAAAATTATATAAAATATGACAAGACAAGTTAAAGACAGATTAAAAATTATTTAGAAAACATTAGAGCATTACGTCGTGAAGCCACTTGATGATTGCACAAAATGGTGGTCATGGAATAATGAGTGAGATGAACCTTTGACAGAAGGCCGAAGGTTGTCAATGTCTGTGTTGAAAGATGGGACGAATTGTGGGCGTGTGCCATTTTGTGCAATCATCAAGTGGCTTCACGACGTAATGCTCTAGTGTTTTCTAAATAATTTTTAATCTTTAACTTGTCTTGTCATATTTTATATAATTTTAACCATTGTACCATGTATCCAGCTCTCACCATGTTACTGGACGTTTCCCTCATCCTATACGAAAACAACAATTAGCAACATCCTCACATACTACTGTAAGTTGATTCAATTTAAATTCATTTTACACTTTTGTTGCTACTGTTATCACTGTAATTGCAGCTCCTGATGATGATGGCAAAGTCCATTGAAAGCTAGAGAGAATTAAAAAAGTATAAAGAGTCCTCTTTGCTTAAATTTTGTCGAAGTACCCAACAAAAGGCGGAAGCTTTAATTTTTCACCTAACTGGTTTAGACGACAATGACCACGTCTCAAGTTATATACATATATATATATATATATATATATATATATATATATATCCGCGATTTAGCTGGCAATAATTGTTGTGACACTACTTTGGCTACTACAGAAAAAAATTGTGTATTAGGTATACACGGGAAAAATACTAGACTTAAGCTTTCTTTTTTTGTCTCCCTCCGCTGCGCAAGTTAAAATCTAATACTTTTTTCCCTTGTATAATAAGTAACTATTTTGTCATTCCTTAGTGTTGATTTTACAAAAGTCAAAAAAGATTTTGTTTTGGAAAATCGACGGCATCTTTGGGACTCCTAATAAGAATGCTTTTTAGGTTTGTTATACATCAACGTACCCCTAGTAACCCTGCACAACTTCAAATGGATCGATTGTACGGTTTTTCCGGATCAACAAATTCCTAAACCCGCCTTTGAGACCCCTCAGAAAATATTTCGACCATGGCCAGGTGATAAAAAAAGGATCCTGTTTTATTCAAATTCAAATATATTCGCGCTAAATGATCGTACCGCGATTTTGAAAACAGGATATTGAAGCTGAATAAACGGGCTATCTGATCCACATGATGGCCTAGCAGAAAAAAATATCTTCATGTCTGCCAAAAGTTTTGGAAAAAAAATTCTTGCGGTATCTGCCAAAACTGCATGAGAATCTTTGCTCCTAAAATGTTTCGGCTAGAAGACCTGGAACCTTGAATCTTGAAGCTTTAAAATGCTTTTTTTAGAGTCTAGATAACTACTATTTTCATCAAAATTCAGCCTATCAAAAATCATCGAATAATTTGGATTTTTTTCTTGTTGACTTTATTTCTTTGATGTTCATTTGATAGCGTTGCCGGATTTTATTGTCTTTTTTAACTTTTCTGAGCATAAGCAACTTTATACTCGTATATACAGGGTGCTTCCATTGTGTGTAGTCTCGTAAAAGGTTGCATAATAAAAGAAATAAGATTAAAAAAAATTTCTTGGTCTGCTCGCTCCCCGGATTTAACGCCTTGCGATTTTTTTCTGTGGGGATATTTGAAATAGTTGGTGTATCATGATGGAGCAGTAAATACTCTGGAAGAACTTCAACAGCGCACTGAAAATCCTTGTGATTGATGATTTTTTTTTAAATTATTCTTTTATTATGCAACTTTTATATAGGTGATTTCAGTATATTAACTCCTTTTGACTACTTTGAAACCACGCTGTACATATCTCATCAAACTGTTTCTTTCAGGTGTGAAAGAAGACATTCCACCCAGTCCAAAACAAGACCCTCCTCCCCCTCCGGACCACACCAGCTCGATAACCATCCCAGAACCTTATCCAGACTCGTCCGAAGAGAAAAAATGGGATCACACGCTCAGCGATCGCAACCACGTCAACACGCTGATCGACGAAATGTTCGCGAGCGTGCTGGAAGTGAACCCCGAGGAACAACCGGAAGCGTCTGTCGAGGCGACCAACAAGGTTGTGATAAACGGGGTGAACGATAAGGACAGTGAGGGTAGTGAAGAGAAGACTGTGATTGTGATAAAGAGTGACGAGGAGATGAGTCAGAAAGACGGGAGCGAAGATAGACCAAAGCAGGTGAATTGCTCTTCAGATGGATTGGTGGTGGTTATTTGTATCGATTTTGTTCAAATAAACGTTTGTTTCGGATGTTGTAATGCATTTATTTGACGGTTATAAATTTAGGAACAATTTTACGAAAACACGCTAGACTAGTGACATTTTATATATACAGGGTGGCCTAGTTTAGTCTCCCCGCTTTAATATTTCGACTGGGCATACTAGAAAAAAATTTCAACTTAAAGTTGTAGGGTTTGTTGGGTCAAAATGGTGGTGACCTTGATTACGACCTTCAAGGTTATTTCGAGGTCGAGCAAATATTTTCAAATGGACCCACATCGTAATTCAAAAGAGTAGCAGAAATTTTACGTCCAAAAATGACCTTGAGCTTTACCTTCAAGACCATTTCAAGGTCAAATTAAGACGTCGAAAACATTTTGCTCTAACAAAAATGTTCGATAGCACAGTTGCAAGGTTTGTGAGAATCGTCCATAACCTTCAAGGTCAAGCCAAAATTTCCAAAGAAAACTGGAAATGAAAAAAGTAGAACATTTTACTTCCGAATGTGATCTCGAAGTGAAGGTCGTGTCATGCTTAAATGTCGTGTCAAAGTGAAGGTTGTGTCAAGCTTAAATGTCATTTGAGGTCAAGGTCGGGAAGCATTGTATACCGCATATAACTTGAGAAATACCGCTCGGATTTCGATGAAATTTTCACTCAATGTTACAACTATGCCAAGGACGCAAGAGCTTTGTAGTTTTTGAAAATTGTACCAGAGGCAGCTGAGAAAAAGATCACAAATTAAAAAATAAATACCGGTAAAAATTTGTTTTTTTGCCGTTTCGGACCATACTGATGATTTTCGAAATATTTTTGTAGGGGCTAAAAACTGAGGGTTAGAGATTGACATTGGTATATTTATACGTTGAACTCCAGTAATTCTACGCACATATTAGGCATATTTCACTCATTATAGATGTCACCGTACGTTTACCCTTACTTATCATATCTTCTACCGTCGGGATCGATACGTATGACGTGGTCCCCCGACGGACAAGCGTCGTCGTTGGTGGTCGTTCGCAACAGTCGGCAAACGCTTCCGCACTGCCTTGTGCTGTGTGCACTGTGCATGGTGAAGGCCAATATCGTCATTTATTTGACGGTTATAAATTTAGGAACAATTTTATGAAAACACGCTAGACTAGTGACATTTTATATATACAGGGTGGCCTAGTCTCCCCGCTTTAATATTTCGACTGGGCATACTAGAAAAAAAAATTTCAACCTAAAGTTGTAGGGTTTGTTAGGTCAGAATGGTGGTGACCTTGATTACGACCTTCAAGGTTATTTCGAGATCGAGCAAATATTTTCAAATGGACCTCTCCTGTTCACATCCTAATTCAAAAGAGGAGCATAAATTTAACGTCCGATAATGACATTGAGCTTTGCCTTCAAGACCATTTCAAGGTCAAATTAAGACGTCGAAAACATTTCGCTCTAGCAAAAATGTTCGATAGCACTGTTGCAAGGTTTGTAAGAATCGACTATAACCTTCAAGGTCAAACCAAACCTCTCATTTTTATACTGGAAATGGAAAAAGTAGAACATTTCACGTCCGAATGTGACCTTGACCTCAAAGTGAAGGTCGTGTCATGTGAAAGTGAAGGTTATGTCGAGCTTAAATGTTATTTGAGGTCAAGGTCGAGAAGCATTGTAATCGCGGAAATTTAATCGGACGATACTGATCATTTTCGAAAAAATTTTCTAGGGGCTAAAAACTGAGGGTTAGAGGTTGACATTGGTATATTTATACGTTGAACTCCATATTAGGCATATTTCACTCATTATAGATGTCACCGTACGTTTACCCTTACTTATCATATCTTCTACCGTCGGGATCGATACGTATGACGTGGTCCCCCGACGGACAAGCGTCGTCGTTGGAGGTCGTTCGCAACAGTCGGCAAACGCTTCCGCACTGCATTGTGCTGTGTGCACTGTGCATGGTGAAGGCCAATATCGACATTCTCGCGGGATTGGACATCGCAACGACCATGTGCACCTGCAGGCCCAGGTGCCTATCAGGGCATTTTTTCACATACAAGAAGGATGAAAATACATACATGGAAAGAACAGGAAAAACCCTTAGAGTTATCTATGCAACACTATAGTCTATTACTATTAACCCTGTGAGGAAGACAGATACAGGGAGACAAAGAAAAGAAATTTGATTAATCTAAATTTTGATACCAGAGTGTTTTGATGAATTTCATAAAGCAGGAAGTCACCTCAGGTTTTTGTAGCGAGGGAAGTGATTGTGTATTGTATGGAGTAAGTTTTGGTAAATATTGTTTCAGTGTGTACTCCATCCGAAAAAAAAGTGGTCAAAGTCTCGTTTGAGACTGCAATGCTCACAAACTCCGAGGGTATTTAACGGGTGACGTGTCTGGTACATTAAAAATGCTCACTTGTCATTTGGAAGACGGATAAATGAAATATTGTACTGAAAAAGATCACCTTTGTGATTGAAACGTTTACTACAATAAAGAGCATCTTTTGATATGTGTTGGCCAGACTGACATGGGGGAATACCATTACACATTGTCGATTTTGTTAATAGTCAAATTCGTCACGTTTTACAGAGCCGATAAAATCGAATCTCCACGCAACGCCCATGACACACTAAATTTCCCGAAACTTGATTGCGCCCGGCTTTCAGTTCAAACACGGCGTTGGCGTTAGATTATCGAAGAAACGGAAAATTGTGCGTGTCCTTTAGAAACGCATTGCGGAAGTAATCACGCAATTACTCAACCGTGAAATTTGTTCGAAACGAATAGGAATGCTGCTTGCCGCTGTTACATTGTGGTTTTGATGACTTCTTGTGTCAATCGTTACGAATACTTGGATTTGTGCGGTATTTTTCAAAGCATTGCCGAATCGTAATCTTACACAAAATATGTAAAATTTATATATGGTGTCTGAAAAGTTCCGGAACCCCACGATACTTTGTGAACTAGTAGTGGTACGAGAAAACGTATTAAAGTCTCGCGATCTTCAAGAATCTTAACCAGCTATTCAATGGTGACATTGGATTTGACATAGATCTTGACCTTGAGGGTCAAATCGATTTTTCAAATATGGTTTTGAAATTGTTGAATTTTGACCATAGGTCATTTTCAAGGTCAAACTCATGTACGGGATATATCTTGAAAACCAGTAGTCGTATAAGGAAACTACCAAGACGTTATTTTCATGATTTTTCCCCCGGATATCCATTGGTGACCTTGGATTTGACCTTAAACATGTTCACCTTCAATGTCATGTGAAGGTCGAGTCGATTTTTGTAGGGAACAATCCTGAAAGTCTCGCGATTGTTCGGAGTTTCTCCCAACTATTCAATGGTCACCTTGGATTTGACCTTTAATAACCTTCAAGGTCATTTAAGTGGAACCCCCCATTTTTGATCCCGTGAACGAAAAGAGTGGAACATTTTACGTTCAAATATGATCTTGAACATTCCTAAATTTTGACCTTAGGAGGTCAAGGTCAAAGCCAGGTATGGTTATATATCTTGAAAACCAGTAGTCGTAAGGCGAAAGTACCGAGACAAATTTTCATTATTTGTCCTTGGATTTGACCTTAAATATGATAACCTTCAAGATCATGTGAAGGTCAAGTCGATTTTTCTAGCTAGGGAACAATCCTGAAAGAAAAGTGAAGTCAATATATCTGGGGATTAGACAGTTTTCTGAATTATCAAAAAATTAAGGTAAAATTGTGTTTGACCTTGAAGGTCAAGTTCTTAAAATTGTGAAGGACATATTCGATCATAAAATTTTCCCATTTCTCCATTTTCTCTCTGAAAGTATAGGGTTCCACTAGAAACGAGTTGATCTTCAAATGACCTTGAAAGTGATGGCCAAGGTCAGATACAACCTCACAATTGGATATGCGTAGAAAAATCAAGAAAATAACGACTGTAGTTTTTCTACACGACTACTGGCCTTCATGTTATATCACCGTACCTGAATTTGACCTTGATCTCCTAAGGTCAAAATTTAAGAATGGTTAAGACCATATTTGAACGTTGAAAGTTCCGCTCCTATAATTTACCGGATCGAAAATGCGGGGTTCCATTTTAAAAAAATCGACTTGACCTTCTAATGACCTTGAAAACATATATTTTCCGTACATCTACCTATTCACGATCCCTAGCCGTAGGAAGTATAGAGTCAGTCTACTTGACACCATTTTCTTTTATTCCAGGTCAAGTTCAAAGACCAACTAAACCACGAGCTGCTCATCGACGAGCTGCAGTGCATGAAAAAGGACCAAGAGCAAATCCTGAAACGTCAAAGGTATCCGTCCGTGGACATATACGAACAGTGCAGTTTATTTACTCATAGTGACGTTTCTGTGAAAAACGGTAGTGAAATCGTGCGCGCGAATTCGTTAGGTGCGCAACAGAGACCCACAAGGTTGGATTTGGTCAACGGGCCCTTGAAGAATGGGAAGAATTCGTTTACGAAAAACAGGGACTTCAAGATTGACCTTGAAAGGTGAGCTATATTGTGTCCATATTATTTAGGGTGTCTGGAAAGTTCCGGAACCCTACAATAAATAGTGAATTGATACGAGTTTTCTCCAGCTATTGAATGGTGACCTTGTATTTGACCTTGACGTTTTAGGTCACTTGAAGGCAAGTAGATTGTTTAAATGGAATCCTCCATTTTTTACCCCGTGCATGAAAAGAGTGGAATATTTTACGTTCGAATAAGATCTTGAAAAATCCTAAATTTTGACCTTAGGAGGTCTTGGTCAAGGTCAAATCCAGGTACGGCGTGCAACTTGAAAGCCAGTAGTTGTATAGGGATTCATGATTTTCCTCAATAACCAATAGTGACCTTGGATCTGACCTTGACAATGACTTTCAAGGTCATTAGAAGGCCAACCCTTTTTAATGGGATCCTGAGCGTGCGAATGGGGAAAATGGAGATTTTTGGTTCGAATATATTTTAGACTAATTTGGTACTTGACCTTGGACTTGACCATAAAGGTCAAACTCAAGTTTACCTTAATTCCTTGATAAATCATATGACTGTTCTTTTAGGATTGTTCGCTGGTTGTCAAAATCGACTTGACCATCACATGACCTTGAAGGTCAGCGTTAAGGTTAGGTTCAAGGCCGTCATTGGATATCAGGGAAAAAATCATGAAAATAATGTCTCTGTACTTTCTCTATACGACTCTTGTTTTATCACCGTACATGGATTTGAATCTTGGCCTTGATCTGCTAAGGTCAAAATTATTGATATGGTCAAGACCATATTTGAACGTAAAATTTTCCGCTCTTTTCGTTTACGGGGTCAAAAATAGGGGGTTCCGTTTAAAAAAATCGGCTTGGTACCCCCAAATGACCTAGACGGCCATGGTCAAGGTCAAACTCCTACTAATCGTAGTGCTTACTTTTTTCATACCTTTATACGCTGTAGTCGTTTTCCACATGCTCAAAAGAAATTCACATCTTCAGACAAATTTCCGACGGGCGAAATGATGGTAACCTTGACTACAATGGTCAAGGTAATTTCAAGGTCAAGTGAATATTTTATGGTTGTACCTCCTTTTTACATCGGAATTGAAAAGAGGATGTAATCTTACGTCCTTCAAGGCCAAATGAAGACATCGACAATAATTTGCTATGGCATTGAACAGAATTGTGATCACTGAAGGGTAACCCTGACCATAACCTTGAAAGTCAAGTCAAAATTTCCAAAGGAAGCCTCTCTTTCTTATACTGCAAATGGAAATTTTACGCCAATATCTGACCTTGACCTCAAATAACATTCAAGCTTGACACGACCTTCACTTTGAGGTAAAGATCACATTCTGACGTAAAATTTCCCTTTTTTGAAATTCTGACTTGACTGAAATTAAAAATGATATTGAAAGTACTTTCGAAGGTAAATAAAAACGAACCGTGTGGTGAAAAATATGTGACGCCATTGCGGACATACCGGGTGTATCAAATTCTACCCTGACCTTTGGTAACTCGGAAATGGTAAGACGAAACGTCATATTGAAATTCGCATTATGCTATTAGTGGAGGAGAAAAAGTGGCGTTAATGTGCAATTTATATATAAAATTGTTTGAAGAATCATATTCTGGAAAATTAGCATGTCATTGATCCTGTAAATATCTGCGTTCGTTGATTGGCCTAACATCGAATCGAACACAACAACTCTGTAGTAACGATATGAACAAATCCCACAAAATTAATTTCCTATGATCCGATAAAAACCGCCGCATTGTTGAGTGACGTAACAGCCGGTTTGTTAACAAAAACAAAAACACCTACTGAACATTGCTGGTGTGTATGGAAACAACAGAAATAGCTCGTTTAATAGCACGAAGCACAGAACTTTCGACGAAAAAGGTAAAACAATTACACCGCTCGTCAATCGAGGCAGATGGATTGCGTTTCATTATACAGGGTGACTTTGAAGTTGAGTCATTAATTTTCAGATAATGATTGTAGAAGGAAGATAAACCAAAATATGTGTGTAAAAATAAAATAAAAATTGAAAAAAAATGTTGTTTTATAAAGTATCCTCCCGACAAGTATTTCAGTGCGGACCTGTATTTGATCGTGCGGTCTTGGAGCACCGGCATGCCCTCCCCTGTGAGGTCTTAAGTCACGTGATTCACGAGCCCTTTGTACTACATTAACAAAGGCACGAGGGGTTGGTTGCACTCGATTGGGAAACCGATCCGCATCATTATACAGGGACTTTGAAGTTGAGTCATTAATTTTCAGATAATGATTGTAGAAGGAAGATAAACCAAAATATGTGTGTAAAAATAAAAAAAAATTAAAAAAAAAATGTTACCTTGTTTTATAAAGTATCCTCCCGACAAATATTTCAGTGCGGACCTGTATTCGATCGTGCGGTCTTGGAGCACCGGCATGCCCTCCCCTGGAGGTCTTAAGTCACCTGATTCACGAGCCCTTTGTACTACATTAACAAAGGCACGAGGGGTTGGTTGCACTCGATTGGGAAACCGATCCGCATAAATCCGTGATGCCGCGGCAGCATTTGGTAAAGACTCCCCTCTCCCCGTAAATAAGATGTCCACAAGTTCAGCATTTTCGTAAACATGTGCTATTTTTGATTTCGTTTGAGCCACGCAACAGACACCACTATTCACTCACGCGTTACCGACTGACACTGACTGTATACAACTGAATAAAATAATTGTAAAAACATCGTTCCAAATTCTTTCGCTTTTTTGTTTCCGATGCGATGAACCGATAAGGCGGATTATATCCGTTGTTGCCAAACACGAGCACATAATATTATTATTGAGACAGGGCGGTACTCGAACTTCCAAAGGGCTATAACTTTGTTACTTTAATTTTACCAGAAAAATGGTAAAGGAAAAAAACATTTCTTTTGATCAGATCTACTCACTGTTAAAATAAATGACTCAACTTCGAAGTCACCCTGTATACAAGGTGAACCGATATGCCGTGGACATGCAAGTAACACGTATTTTTGGACTCAAAATAAATCGATTGGATATGATTTAACCTCTATGTAAAAAAGCTTCGTTTGTTCGTTAGGACGTCAAAGTTTTCTTTCCAAAACACATTTTTTAGATATTTTAAGAACCGATGGTCCGATTTAAAGGAAATTTGTATTTAGCTATACGTTATGTGAGATGTGCATCACTCTTTCCGTCGGTCTGTTTCGACAGTGCCGGTTGGATTTCGATGAAATTTCCTTAGGAAACGTATAAATTGTTATAATAAAAAAAATTTACATATACCCTCCCCACCCCCTACAATCCCCCACATCATTTATTTGAAATAACACAGTTATCAACCAATTACACACTAAAAACTCGCCCCGTTTTCCGATTTCTGGATAAAGCGGCATTCTAGAATCCGTCTTAGGAACCGTTTGAGATATTTTCGAAATCCTATAAATACAGGGTGCGGCAGAGAGGATGGACGGTTTTAAAAAAAATCATAAAATTGTTAATTTTTACTCGAAAACAAATTTATTGATGGAATCATAGGCGAAAACGCGGTACTCCACCGTCCAAGGCTCCATAACGACAACTGGTAAAATACTGCTAGGATCTCACGAGTCAAACGGCACCCTCCCCACCTCTCTCGTACACGGAGGCGGAGGGTACTGCCCATCCCAAAAACGTCCGTCCTCTCTGCCGCACCCTGTATTAACCCTGTTTTTCGAATCACTCTGTATATAACTCGCTCGTCGGTCGACACAACTGGATTGCGTTACTTTCTGCGAGAATTACACCGATTCCATCTAAGATTATGCGCAAGATCTGCATTGTTTTACGTTCTTGACATACTCGTTAACGATGATGTCGAATAAACAATTATCGTCTGTTGATGAGCACAGCTGCGCCGACCGGAACGTAATAGTGGTACGTAATCAATTTGATTCATTCTACACGATACAGAATCACCAATAAAATAATCTCCATTTTGTTATATTCTAAAAAAGTTTATTTCCGAAATTAAATTTGACGGAGAATCTTAAGACCCATTGGCTATATTTAACGGGCTCTTTTGTGCAGTTGCCCTATTGGTACAAAATGGCTACTCTTTCGGTGAAATCCACCCTAATTGAATAAAACTCGTTATGTCTCTCTGTATGTCAGTTTATCTGTATTCTATGATTATGGATGCATGTCTACTAACTTACAGTTGACATGAAGGTGTAGAGATGGGTAAGAGTAGACGTTTTGTGGAGACCGGTGCGAAATTGGAAAAGAAAAAGCTGCAGAAAGACAAAATTCTTACTTAACACTGGACAGTTTTTCGTAGTTAAAGAAGGAATAAAATACCCCAAAAATATCCATCGATTTGACTTTCCACCAAAAAGAATGTAGGATATAAAAGAGATAATATACTAAGTGACATATAAATCCGAACACCCAGTTTAAATGGTTTTATTTTAATATAATTTTGTATAAGTACTTAATGAAGCATAATAAGTAAATGATACAAATTTCAAAATGATTGCACTGCTTTAAAGCCCTTTGACCTTTAATAATGTGTGGATGCACCCTGATGTGCTACGCATTCTCCAACGCGCCTAGGCATGCTTCTGATCAGGTGGTCAATGTCCTCCTGTTGTATCTCATTCCAGGCAACCAACTCCTTTCGAAGTGCTTCTAGAGTCTGAGGAGGACGTTGCAAATTGAGCAATCTCCTATCCATCACATCTCACACGTGCTCAATTGAGGATAAGTCGGGAGATCTTGGTGGCCATGGTAACAATGTGACATCATTATGTTGAAAGAAGTCTATTGTGACTCTTGCAACATGTGGTCGGGCATTATCTTGTTGGAAAGTTGGATCTGCCAGGGTGTCAAGATAGGGTAAAAGATGGGGTTCTAGAACTTCGTGGATATAACGCTGCGCGTTCATGTTACCTCTGATGAAGATTAAAGGTGACCTGGAACCATAAGCTATAGCACCCCAAACCATAACTCCAACAATGTGATGAACATGTCTTTCAA